GTAAGCATTATAATTAGCAACTTACAATGTTTTTATTAAATTGTGATCATGACAAATACAAATTCAGTCATATTAAAAATATTTTATGACATGCTACTTGACTAAAAATAAATGTTTAGTTAATATATTACATTACACTAACACTAGGCTGCCTTTAGCCTTACCCTGGAGTTGGTTCACTCTTTGGCTATGAATCTAAGTAAATAATTAAATAAATTAGCATGTGTCGGCGATCATACAGGCTGACGATAGGACGATATGACTATGGAGCATATCGCCCAACACTATCAGGTACATAGGCTATAGTTTTGGCTGAGTGAAAAAAAGAATGAATGTAATTTGAAAGATGTAGTCATTGAATGCATTTTGTTTAAAAACCAATAGAAAATGGCTGCTGTGAAAAGTTTAGAAAAAAGTAACTGGAAAATAGGTTTGTGGACAGGTGTAGTATAAGGTGTGTTTCATTATTTATGACTAATCCACTGTTATGTAGGGCCTGTTATCATAATTCAGATTCATGGTCAAGCTCAATGGTAAGTGAGCAACCGTTTGCGCCTCCTAACAGTGACCGGCTTTCCTGTGAGACTAGGGTAACAATGGTGGGAAAAAAGGTCCTTCGTTGACGGGACCTATTTTCACACGTCCACATGAAACCAACGACAGCATGCACTCTACGCTTTTGACAAAGACCACCAACTTCAACAAAGACACTTCTGACAAAAAGACTATCATGACAACAAAAACAACCCGTTAAAGGTACCTGAGGTTGCCGTGCAGTCCATGGGAAAATGGGGAGGGTGAGGGGTTTACCGGATTTTCCTAATTGAAAGGTGAAGTGTGTAATTTTTTGTGTGTCATTTTTTGTAATGTCAAAATAGTTTACACCTATAAGGAAGCCATTAATAAGTTGATTTCCCTAAAGGTGTGGCTCTGGGGTGCTATCAAAACATTGATGTGTTTGTTTGAGCATCCGGACCAACCTTATACAGCAACACTGGCTCAACCAATGCCATTTTGAAGTTATGTTTGCCTGAACAATGGAAGACTGGGGGATTAAAAGTCGCAGTTCCCTTTGTTGACAATAGTGGCACAGAAATTACACATTGTGCAGATGTAAAGGCATTATATGAATTTGAGATTAATATTGGAATTACATGCATTTGAGATTAATATTGGAATTACATGCATTTGAGATCAATTATGCATGTCATGTAAACATGTCATAACCTGATTAAGGTAATATTTTTTAAAGGTAATAATTTTAAAAAAACTGAATGAGACAAATAACATATGCCTGCATTAATCGAAATATTGTATCATGTAAACATATTCATAATATACACTGTAAATTAATATAGAAGACCATTACTTGAAATGTCAGTAGAAATGTGGTTAAAAAGTCAGTAGTTTTTCAGTATGCAGTTTTATAAAGCAATTCATACTTTTATTCAGCATTTGGTATGCATTACATTTATCAAAAATGGCAGTAATGGCATTTATAATGTTTCAAAATATTTACATTTCAAATAAATTCTGTTCTTTTAAAGTACAGTATATTCATCAAAGAGTCCTTTAAAAAGTATCAAGGTTTCCACAAGAATATTAAGCAGTACAGCTGTTTTCAATATTGATAATAATGAGAATTGTTTCTTGAGTGCCAAATCAGCATATTACAATATTTTTAAAGGATCATGTGAAGACTTGAGTAATGGCCGTTTAAATTGTTTGTAAAATAATAGCAGTTAATATAACATAATAACAGTTAAACAGTTATTTAAAACTGTAATAAAAAAAATACAGTATTACTGTTTTTTACTAGTTTTGAACACATAAATACAGCCTTGGTGAGAATAAGAGACTTCTTTCAAAAACAATAAAGAATATTACAGCCCCCAAATGTTTAAATGGTAGCATATGCAGGAATATTTCATTAGCATATAAGCAGTTTTCTGATAGCCCTTAACCTGAAAATGATGAGCATGGTCATTTCTTTGTGTGTATCTATCCCTTTCTGTGAGAGAAAGAGAGAACAGCATGAATCGATGGATAAATGGGCTCCCTGCCTGCACTGACAGTGCATGAATTGTCAGACTTTGTGTGAAACGCACAAACACACACCTGCTGTTAGACACAATGATCTTCCTCCGAGGACTCGTTTTCTCACTATGTGCTAATGAGAGACCAGCTCAGTCAAAGATTCCCACCAATCTACCCAAAACAAACAACAAGGAACATACAAAACAGTAGGAGAGAAAAGTGGGGGGATGCTAAGACATCCAGGTGCTGACACAGACAGACGTGCCATTTTATTCCCATGCTTAAAAACACATTTTCCCCGGATATACAAGTGCAAATAATGTGTGCAAATACGCCTACCCCAAACGCATGGCCTATATGTATTCAACATGCAGGTCCCTACAGGTATTTGTAGCCTGTGTAATTATAGAAGCCTGTTAAAAACACACCTGAAAATCAGGATTATGGGGGTTTTGCTTTTGCAACACCATTAAATCCTTGCTGGATTTTCACTCTTTGGAAACTCTAACCAAAAGACTTTGTTTGACCTCAAACAGCTCTCGGAGCTCTAAGTGCTCCTGTGACCTTTTTTTTTTTGGCTGACCTTTGACCTCTGACATCTGTACCCTGCTCTCTTGCTTCTGGTGGAGGTATCTGAAAGCTGCATTATGTGTCTATATATATTTATGCAAAAATCAACTTTTAGCCAAGCCTGCTAATGGTAAGTAAATGAAGAAAATTTGCCAGGCATAAATATTTCTTAACAGTATTTTGCATTATTTGTTTTTATAAAATATATTTAAAATGTACACAATATTTTTAAAAAAGTATCTTATGCTCACCAAAGTTTGACACCATGTTTCCCTGACGTCACTTCCTGTTTGTTGCTGCCGTGTGTTTTGAGTTTGAGCTCCGTCAAGTTCATTCTTTGTCGTCTAATTTTTTATCTTAAAATCAATTTTATACACTATCATTTTCGTTTCTATAACGGGTGAATATATCCCCTATCGTATTCTACAACAAAAACAATCAGAGCGCCTTGTTATCACTAGTTTTATTTTGATTTCCCGAGTCCGCTATTAGCAAATAGCCCGCTAGCATCGCCAGCGTGGTTGCCGCTAATCTCGCTTACATTACTAATACTCTATTCACACACATTACCATTGTTTTACTCACTGTTACTTGCTTTAATGGCGGATGTGTGTCTACCTTTGAGTGCAGGTGAGGACACGTTCGAGCTGCATTCGGTGCAGCTCGAGCTGGAGGCCGTGGAGAAGCAGATCCGCGACCTGGTGGAGAAGCAGACCCAGCTGAGAGAGCGGAGAGCCGCGCTGGAAACATCCCAGGCTGACGCTCACAAGTCCGAGGTAAGTATACAGCGCGCTGCTAACCCTCCCACCACCTCTACTCCGTGTGTTTCTCCGGTGCACCCAGGACGCGATCTTCCCAGATGTCCTTCACTCCAGCGCCGGGACACCACGTTCCCTGGGTGCCCCCCCCACGGAAGACGCGAGCCAGGCCCCGGGCGACGACCTCTCCCCCTCCACCGCCTCCGGTCTTCGAGATCTCCACCCGGAACCGCTTCGCACCCCTCCACGAGACGGAATGCGACGCTGTGATCATCGGAGACTCCATCGTCCGGCACGTCCGTGCTACGTTAGCTGAAGGTAAAGTGCACACCCACTGTTTCCCTGGTGCTCGTGTTCTCGATGTTTCTGCGCAGATACCCGCGATCCTGAAGGATGACGAGAGCCCCGGAGCGGTCGTGCTTCACGCGGGGGCTAACGACACCAAGCTGCGGCAGACGGAGACACTGAAGAGGGACTTCAGGAGCCTGATCGAGACGGTG